AACTTTCACTCACAACAACAACCCAAACTATCTACTATTGACAAGAGTGGGGCCCAACCTTACTAAAATGCAAGTAGTTAATATGTCGAATGAACATGGTATAATTACAGGTCTCTACTGCTAAAACCTGAAAAATAAATGAGTGGTGAGACTTATGTCCCAGTGAATGGTCTTTATCAGTAAAATCAGTGAAACAGGAATATGTCGCATAATATTGCAATTAAAAGTAATTCGTAAAACTAGTATAACTGATATAGAATATCATATCGTGAGATATCAATTCACTGATCATAATTTAGAATTAAAACTAATTCACCCGTTAAGCCCACATCTCTACCCATAGCAAAATATCTTATAATGACTAACGATAGAAGCAAAAACATAACGGTTCCACAATTAACGTAAGGTCTGATGTGCATGTAGATATAAACATAACATAGAAAGAATCCATTGGGTGTTACTGGCCATGAGACTCGTTCCATAGGACACCACCCCCATGAACGAAAACACATAATTTGTTGGTGTCGTAAGACCCCACGGGGCAAATAAATCATGTAGTACTACCACAGTAACATAGCTACCCAGCAAATTATCCAGGTGAATTGCAAACATTCATATATAACATACAGTATAAAAATGAGATCCGTATTTCTATTTCATATAACAAAATATTCATAACATATAAATAAATTTAAAAAAACATTTCTTGAAACATAAACTTTTGATTTTGAAATGAAACATTTATTTGTAAGAAAAATATTAATTTCATTATTTTAGGAAAATACTGAGTTTAGAAAAAGACCACTCACCTCTGCTGATACTGTGTGTGTCCAGACTCAATCCTATTAGCCTCACTGACTAGTCGGTTTATTTGTCCTAAAGTGTAACAATATACGCTATCAATAACATGCCAAAATTATGCATTGATACATGAATATGCTAATGCATATATTAGAGACACTCCTAATTAGGTTGTTTTCTACCATTTTTATTTGGGATCAAAGTTTCTGCTACATACGTATTTCGAAAATTCTCAAAATATTATTTTTATACTCATTGTCAAGTTAGATACGTTCACGTTCACAAAAGGAGTTATAGTTATTTTTTTATGAAAAATAATCCGTAGGTGTGTTGGCAAAAATTATAGACTAGAGTTCAGACAAATTTTAGTGTCAGTTTAGTCTTATTTTTACTAACCTAACTTGGTCACCATTTTAGCAAAATTTAACATAAATTAATAAAAATTTAATCTAAACTAATAGAAATTATTCCTAAATTTTTCATCCTAAAAACAACAATTAATACAAAATATAAACCAATTAAAAAGATTTAAATTGCAACTAGATTGGAAATAACTAAAAAAAATTATTATTTTAAAAAGAATTAACCTGATTCTTGCCTGAATTGGATTTCCGTCGTCTGTGCCTTCCCTCTTGTTCTTTTTCTCTCGCTCTCCTTCTTCTCTTTCTCTTTCCCTCTTCTTCTTTTTTTCCCTCTTCTTTCTTTCTTTCTCCCTTTTTCAATTGCTGAAAGTTTACTCTCCCTTTTCTTCTTCTTCTTCTTCTTCTTTTTTTATTTTTTTTAAAGTAAAGCAAATGCCATCTACGTGAGGGACATGTGCCCTCGTGCCATCATTATTCTTTTTTTTCTTTTTTTTTTTCTTCTTTTTTTCTTTTATTATGATTATAATATAATATAATATAATATTATTTATTTATTTAAAAGTTAAATTTAAACAACTAATGTATTGAAATTAACTTTGATTCTATTCTAATGTATTGAAATTACATCTTCTTCTAAATGAATCAATTTTTGTATTTGTTATCTCTAGTTATCTATAATTTCATATAATGATATCAAGTAATATATTTTATACGTCTGAAAATAGTTTAAGAGTTATTATATATAATTTATTTAATATTTATTATGTATACATTTTAACTTATTAATAAAAATTTGAGTTTGATATTCTAAAAGTTAAAATTTATTATTTGTGGGTTTATTTTTTTAAATGAATTAGAGTTAGTTGAAAGCAGGATTTTTTGGCAATCTATTTGCATAAACTCACTAAACTAATTTAACAACCTAGTAATGTTTTTGCATGCAGACAAAAAATGTTAAATTTTCTTGTAACATAAATTGCCTTAATTGCCCTTCAACATGAAAATCGTTACGGTCAAATCCTATTTAAAATGAATATGCAAAACCATATGTTGGTTTTGGGTATATTTTTTCAGCAGTGAGTTGCAGAAGCACGAGATCTTCGTAAAAGCCTACTTTCCCATCTTTATATCTTCAGTGAGTTCATCACAGACTATCAAAAAATTTGGTTGTATTCTCTCCAATTACGGTGAAGATTAGACATTCTTAGAGTATTTGCTTTGATCTCTTCAAAATTTTAATTTGTGTGTATTTAATGTAGAATAAATTGTATTGTTGGATTACATCTTGATTAAGTGGTTCTCAATGCATCAATTTTGTCTCACTTGTACTTTCTCTACAGTATGAAAGCAAATATAAAATTACTTAAATAATTTACGTTAAAAATTGTAAACAAAAGGTCTTACTCCCTACCGTTGATAAACAGAAGGTCTTACTCCCTACCGTTAAATGCGTGTGGTCAACTGTGTAATCGAGGAAGCCAACATTGACTGACTTTCATGGTTAAGGTTCGAAAGAAGGGCTCGGTGCTCCGATTGCGATTTTCTCTTCTTTTTTGTCCAATTCTTTCTGCAAAAACCGTATTCAATGCCATCTTCTTTTGCTAAAGAACCTCCTTCCCCCTCAGATGAGGCTTCGGCTGGGGTCTGAACTCATTTTTTGGGACTTGGACTCTGACTTTCCGTACTCGTCCTGAACCCAATGGGGAATCTGTCCCTTTCAGCCCCTGAACCTAGTGAATCTGTTTAGTACGCTGAGGACCGCCTGAGAGATCGGCAAAGAATGTTAAGAAAGAGTGGGCGGACCGATCGATGAGCTTCGAGCGGAAAGCGGTACGGAAAGGTTGCTAGTCCTCCTCTCCTTCAGCCCAGCCTGTCTAAGATAAGTTATAACAGTAATTTACTTTAATAACGTGCCAGCGGTTCCTATAATACTAGCAAGAGTAAGAATAACTATAACGTAGATAATCTTTATAGCCTCCCAGGTCCCCTTTTACCAGTAGTTTCTGAGGCCAGTGCGTGCTACTTTCATCGCGTGGGAGTTATGACTCGACCCACATCGATGAAACAACGAGACACAGCAGACTTCATATATTTGAGCAACAGATTCATCTCTCGCGAATGCACCCGTTCCTCCCGTCCTCCATACTTTCGCTTATGCGGCTATCGGTCATATCGAAGGGGGTGTAGGAGGGATTTATTTTGTCTCCATCATCACGGCACTGGTACAATGCTTCACTTATCTGTAGATGGATTAGCAATTGAGAGTACGTTCGGCATTGTTAGTGTGTGCATCATCATAATAGCGTAGTGGTTTGAATTTCTTATTGTCACGTCGCCTGAGATTGGGAGCATCAAAACGTAGTTACTTGGCGCTTTAGTTTGATTATTGTTTTTGAATAATTTTCGTGGTATTCGGGGTTGATCTACCAATGAGTTACAGGAACTCGTCATTTAATGTATGTGGTTGTGCATGACGTCCGATAATAAAAGCTCTTCCTAGCTGTTATGTTTGGGGATTTTGCGTGCGCCTGATTCAAGCCGTGTATATGGTGAACTTCCCATCCTTTCCTAATCATTAAGGAAAGGATACTCGCTGACAAACAATGTTGCTCCTGCTATCCTATACCGACCTTACTGAATGCCTACTTCCTTCCTCGCTTTGAAGCCCAGTTTCTTCTGTCCTCTCACTTACAATATCGCTTTCTGTCCTCTTCACTTATTGGTTCAGGCGTTAGAGAGGCCGAAAAACAGGGCTCGTGATCTTCGTAATCTGTATACTGCCGAAATTTTATGTCAAGCAGCAAGTTGAAGATATGCGCGTGTTCTGTTTTGTGATTGAAGAACAAAAGGTAGAAAATTTACCTGGATAAGTTTATGATTAGAGAAGAATCAACCCCTTTATGTTTGTGGTTATTTCTTTCTGTTAAGCACGTCTGGTGCAGAGATATGCAATTCACTCGTTCTTATATAACAAAATCAAAAGAAAAAGAAGTTTAAAATGTTAAACATTGATTTGCTTTATGCATTTCCAATCTCATAATTAGGTGCTGAACTCGAGCACCGTCTTCGGAGGTGAAATGCTAAATTCCAAGTGATTAACAACTTTATCCTACCACATTGAACATCTTTTGGAAGAAGATAAATTGTTCCTCTTCTAGTTTTTCTTTCTCATGCCCTTTTTTTTTTCTTTTAATTAAAGAGATGTCTCTGGGAAAAGCTTTTTCCCCCCGGGGATCATTAGCTGTTTCTTTGGTTTGATGAAATACTGTGCATTTGTTCAATTTGCTCTAACCAAGATTCTCCCTAATTTCGGAAATGAAGAAAATAAAGCAGCAAGATTTGCATAAAATTCTGGAAGGTAGCAAACATGCACTTCACAAAAGGGTAACAGTTACATTATAACAAAAATTGGCACCAGCATCCTGTCAAGCCTTGCTCATAGTAAATGTTCACAATATAATGCACATCACATAAGCAGGACACATTCAGAAACAACTCCAGAATTGACAGGCAATTTTTCTTATTTGTGTTATTATTCGAAGTACTCACAAAAGCAGACGAAGCACATGCGGTAAAAGATGAGAAATAGCATCCTTGAAATTGACAGGTATTCATGAATTTTTCAGAGCCTAGATGATCCCTTGGGGTGATGGATGACAATGTTGTTGTAGGCATCTAGGGTCAGAAAATCATCCAGATCTGGCCTCGTGCATTGGCGAATGAATATCTTGGCAGCCTTCTTGTACATTCCTTTCTTGAACTTCTCTTTACCAACCTCTCTCTCAATCCTGGCCATCTCTTCTTCGACAACTCTCCCAAACAGATCGGGGGTCACCTTCACCCAAGACCATCTCCATCCAGCTCCACTTCATACTTCAACCATTGCCAAATCTGAACTCTGCTAATCTCAGCTGTGGCAGCATCCTCCATGAGGTTGTATAGAGGAACTGACCCTGTTCCAGTGAGCCAGGCAGCCAAGTACTGGATCCCAACGCGTGCATTGAGCCGGAGTCCTTCCATGGTTCGGACCCCTACAGGTCTCTGCAGAAGGTCTTCTTCAGTCAAGGTCGATGCATCTTCTCGCTTCACCGTTTGGATTTGGTTAGGCACATTGCCCATGTGGTTGTTGAAGACTTCCACGATGACTGGAATCAACCCAGGGTGGGCTGCCCAAGTTCCATCATGCCCTGCCCTTACCTCTCTTAGCTTGTCCTTCCTCACCAGCTCCAGAGCCGCCTCGTTAGCTGCTGCATCATCTCTAATTGGAATTTGAGCTGCCTGTTCAATTATTATGATTTTGATTTTTGTTATAATTAGATCAGCTGTTCCAGTATGTTCCATTTTCTGATTTCTGTTGTCACTTTTCAGTTTCTGTTTAAAAAAACACTGAAAAGCTGTAAATATTTTATTATTTTACTGTTGTTTTCGTTCTCGAACAAAATAGTCTCCAGAAGTAACATGTCAAAAGGATTTTCAGTTTTCAAAAATACAAAACAGTTTTCAAAATCCAATTAGTACTTTTCTAGAATGGACTTCTAGATAAACCAGAATGCTCCATTCGATAAACAGACTTGCCCTAATTGTGAAACCCTTGCGGCAGGAAAGTAGAAAATAGTTGGATAAGCATGGATGGAAAGTGCATAACCATAGAAGATACGTACCATGCCTCCCATTGCATGCACGCCACGGCGATGGCAGGTCCTGATGAGGAGATCTGAGTAGCTCTTCATGAAGTGCTGAGTCATGCCAACTTGAACCCTATCTGGAAGCACACGACAGGGACGGGCCTGGAATGTCTTGACATAGCTGAAGATGTAATCCACCTTCCACAGTTCAAACCGACGGAGTGATCCCTTAGCTCGTAGAGGATTTCATCCATCTGGAACACAGCAGGTAGTGTTTCTATCAAAACAGTGGCTCTGATGCTCCCCTTTTCAATTCCAGCCGTTTTCTCAGCCCTCTCAAACACATTGTTCCATATCCTTGCTTCCCTGCCAAAATATAATTTATTTAAACCAAAAAATTCCGTCGACTCCCACGAGTCCAACTTCTTCAATTATTCAGGTACAGACCCCCAAAAAATAAGTTGCAGAATTTTCTTGTGTGGTGATGCTGAAGTGGACGTAATATGACTGGATTCATCATGCTTCAGTTATGTTGCAAGAAAATTGTTTCTGAAAATGACTTCACATTGTTTTCTTCTAAGGGGCTTATATTCTAAAAATTCTTTCTACAATCGTTTGCAATATTAAGTTGCTAAACAAGTTTTCAGTTTTTGAAAACAAAGGGAAGTTTCCAAAGCAGTTATAGACATGCCTTTTAGAATATCTTACCTTGAGTGCTCCATTTTAGGGAGGTAGAAGAAGGGTCCGAACCCGCCACCTTGCGTCTTCCTGAATGTTGCATAGTTGTGATAAAAATACAGGCCGAAGTCCACCAGGCAACCGGTAGCTGGCTCGCCATCAATGAAAATATGAGCCTCAGGCAGGTGCCATCCTCTAGGGCGGACAAAAAGCTTAGCAATCTGGTCATTGAGCTTGTAGACCCGGTTCCTAGCCTTATCATGAAAGCTTATGGTTCCTTCCACAGCATCCTTGAGGTTCACTTGCCCTCTCATCAGGTTTTCCCAGTTTGGCGAGAGTGCATCTTCAAAGTCAGCCTATTTTATATAGACGTGTACACTAATAAAATATCTTCTCATCATATCGCAATTTGGCAAATATATCGTTTTATTTTATCCTGGTGTGCTATATATTCTAGTATAAATTCTATATTTTCCATTCTTTTGAGACTTGACTTGGTAGGGTTGTAAACTTGTATTGACCTGAAAGATATTATATAAGATTATTTGGTACGAAAAATATTCAAAATATGATCTTTTGAGAGTATTTGGTACAAAAAATCTTAAAATTTATAATTTTTCTTCTCATGGAATTAATAATACTTCAAAATTTGAAAAGATTTTAGAAATTAAGTTTTAAAAATCCATTTCTGAATTATGAAAAAATAGCTTAAAAGGCAGTGAATTTTAGGCTTTTAAAAAAATATATTTTTTTTTGAGTTTAAAGAATTTAAATTCCAACAACTTACAGATTATAAGGTACCAAACCCCTAAATTTCATTGATAAGTCTATTTGTCAGGATGGTGACAGACCTATTTTCTTGTTGATTATAAACACATTTATTCATTACCACCATGCTTGGAAAATTTTTTCGGATGGCTTCCCTTCTCTTTTTCACCTTTACAGAGTTGATGAAAATTCCAAAAAAGAAAATGATGAGAATTTTCATTTGTTAAAGAAAATATTTTTTGTTGGGTTTTTCAAATTCATGCTAGGCAACAACACTAGGAGTAGTTTGTATATCACCGACGGTAATTTATATTTCAAATATTATTAAGAATATTTTGTAATAAATTATATTTCAAATATAATTTACTAAAAGGCATCGTTCAAGTTAATACTTTTGCTATAAATTTACATAATAAAAAGGAGTGACATCATAGAAAAAATAGATTTACTCGGTACTAAATTCTAAGCCTTTGAATTTATTATACCAATACCAGAACAAGCACATCGTACTGGTTCCACTAGAATAAACATATGATGTTGGTTCTGATTCAATGGCTCGTAACACCACTGGTTTACTCAATCATGAACTAACACTAAATACAAGAAAAAAATATCTGGTTATACGTGAAAATTTGAGATATTATAAAATAAATTTGCTATGATTCAAAGAAAATTAAAATTGCCGATTTTGCTGCGAGAAAATTACCTTTTTTAATTAGTGAAATCTTGTAGTTAACGATAAAAACAACTCACCATGAAGACTTTAGCACCTGAGTTTAGGGCGTTGATGATCATCTTCCTCTCTACCGGCCCCGTGATCTCCACCCTCCGATCCGCCACTGCCGGAGGAGGTGGAGCGCAAGTCCAATCCCCCTCCCGGATGTACCTAGTCGCCGGATCGAAACCTGGCATGACCTTTGCATTGTACCTTGCCTTTGCCTCCCTTCGACACTCCATAGCGTACTTGATGTGGCCCCTGAACTCCCTCTGCAGGTCAGCCACGAACTGCAGGGCGTCCCTAGTTAGAATTTTTGCAAACTCTTGGTCGTATCTTCCCCTTATGTCCACCCCCTCCGGCGCATCATAGCCCGCACCACCGCCCCTCCTCGGCGGCGCCGTCGCCGGAGTGTCATAACCGTAATTATCTGTGCCCGACATTTTGTTTTGTTGGATCTTGTCCTGAGTGCTCTGCCTGGTGGTAGCTGTGCAGTATGGGAGTGTAAGCTTGCAATCTTGGAAACGTCTTATATAAGCAGATGGATAGGGATCATATCCCCGGTAATTGTGTCCGGCTGCCATTTAATGGAGAAAATCTCTTTGATCTCTTCTAGTAAGGGCAATTCCTTTTTTAAACTTTCACATTTATTAGTATAATAATAAAATAATAAATTAAGAAAATATTTAATACGAGTAAATTCATTTTTAAAATTAGATAATTTAAATTTAATTTTTGAACAACAATCCATAAATCAAATTCAAAGGAGCAATGATGTTTTAGTAATTTATCATAAATCTAGATTTTTAAACTCAAATGTTTCTTGAATTTTTGCTAATGCAAAAATATTGAAGGTTAAAAACCCACAATTTTTAACATATTAGAATGATATAAATTAATAAAAGTTAAGCTTAAATACTTAATATATTAAAAATTTATTTGATAAATTAAATTGAATAATGTAAAATAACAAAATATCTAAATAAAAAATTTTCAATTGTACAGTATTTTTAACTTAAATTTAAATAAAATATTAAATAAATATATAAATTAATAAAATATTTATATATTCTTAGCAATAGTAAATAGAGACAGTGAGTGATGGATAGCATTAAGCAACAATAGTAAAAGATAGATAGATGGTAGTAAACGGTGCAAGCAACAATAGTTAGTGATGAAAGGTGATAACAATCAACAATGAATGGCGATGACGAGTGACAACAAAATACAATCAGAGCCAAAAAGATCAAAATTGTAGTTCAAATCTATAAAATAATTAATTTTTAGAATTTACTTGTTTACCTGGCTTCCTAATTTTTAAAAACTCAAATCTCTTTAATTAAAGTAAAGAAAGTGCACAAAAAGTTTGATTGTGCTCAATTTTTAAGTCAATGAATATTTGATTTTAAAGTGAAAAATCTTTTTATAAAAATTTAAGATTATTTTTTTAAATATTTGATTTCACAGTTCAAAATATTTTAAAAACTTTTAAAAAACAAGTTTTTCATTAAACTCGTTTAAAATTATTTTTTAATATCATTATAAAAAAAATTAAAGTTAAAGAAAAGTAATACCAGGTGGCTCCACGTCACCTACTTCCATCTTCAACCCGAGAGAATGGATCGGGATGGGCAGACATGGTAATGGGCCACAGATGGCGTCTTATGTGTCAGAAGATAAGTGCTGACGCCATCCTCTCGATAAGCGGGCTTTTGTATTTTTCTTTTATTGAGGCTTTTTTTCCTTCCTGCATCGCCTCGAGTTGCGTGGTTGGTTAGATAACGCACGCCCGTCCACGCCACCGGCGTCGCTGGGCGGCCTTGGATAATGGTGGCTATTCCACCTTCTTATCAAATCCATTGCATGGATTTTTGGGTTTTCATTTTTTGGCAGTTTGATTGTTTTTTGTTTTCTTTTGCAAAATAAAATTCAAGCCAAGTAGTTTTTGTTTGCCTTTCTTTCTCATAAATAATTTTTTTTAAAATTAAAATAGAAAAAGTATTTTCAGCTTATAATTAGGCTTTATTTGGCTTCTGCTACGTGATATAAAATATTTTTTTTCAACTTTTTATCTTAATGAAAATGAGAAAGTCAAATATGTATGTTAGTATTGGAGCAAGAGCTTAAAAGTGAAAAATTCTAGTGACAGGAGTAACTTAGCAATTAGCATTCGTCATTTCACCTTCTTTGATTAATAAAGAAAGTCTAACATAAGTTAAAATTTCAAAAGCTTCAACTTAGATAGAATTTAAACACAAACACCCAACCTCAATAAAGAAGTCATTTGACCTTCTAAACTGGGTATAAATTGTAAGAAGTTTTTATAATTTTTAATATATCAAATAACAAATCATATTAAAAATACAAATTTAATATTTATTTGATAATATAATTCAACCTTTATATTAAATATATTAGACCCTAATTGGTAAACATGTGAATCATACTTGAATAATATTTCGTTGCACGTACTTAAAAGAAAAACGTGTCTATTTTTGTATTTTAATGAAACATCATAATATTTTGTCATACTTAATTTAAAAAAAAACGTGTCTATTTTTGTATCTTTATAAAAGATTTGATAAAATACACGTTTTTTATGATATCGGTGTATGTACATGAATATTATTTTCCATACATTATTATGTTTCATTTTCATAAAATTTTTGGTAGAATTATTATTGTACAAATCTTTTATCAATATTAAAAATGCATACATTTCAAATTTTATCAATCATGTAACTTTATATTATATAAAAGAAATTGTAGCATTTTTAAAGTCATACAAATAAAAGAATGAATTATCACAAAAATACTTGATAACATTGTGTACATGAGGATAAATACCATTTCATTAACTTGAACAATTTTAGTAAATTTCTAAATTATGTTACTTATGAATTCTTTAAAAATATTTGCTCACAAGATTTGATATTTGAACATTAAAAAGTTACTACTAATATCATTGGCAAAAATAATCTAAGTTAGTTGAACATTTCATTCTGAAAGTGTTTAATATATTCATTTGCTAGCTTGTTAAAATTTTTTGTAATTTTGAATTATCAGTATTGATAATTGATACTTTTTAATCTAGATTTCTGTCACGACCAAATTGCGATGTTGTGAGCAGTTTTGTGCTCCTAGCAACCTATCCTTGATCAATTATATCTTCTACATAGCATCTTGGACCATGTCTGATCCGAGGAACCTAGCTTTGCCTACCTCAAACCATCAAATCAAAAATTAACACTATTGTCCATACAATACCTTAAAAGATGTCATCCGGAAGCTAGCTTAATAACTATTATTATAAGCGAATTCCACTAGAGGTAAATAAGAGCTCCAATTCCCTCTAAAATTCATGACACAAGCTTTCAACATGTCTTCTAGGATCTGAATAGTTCTCTTTGATTGTCCATTCGTCTGAGGGTAAAATGTTATGCTAAAAAGCCCTCAAAAATTTCGACATGAATTGAGTCCCACAATCAGAAATGATGGATACTGGTACTCTGTATAGTCTAACGATCTCATCTAGATATAACTGAGCATATTGAAATACACTATATATCGTCTCCACTAGAAGAAATGTGTCGACTTGGTCAATTTATCTACAACCACTCATATAGAATCAAACCCCTTGAAGATACGAGACAGTCCTGTCGCGAAATCTATAATAACTCCTTCCTACTTTCACTCTGGGATCTCGATTCATTGATACAATCTTGCAAGTTTCTGATGCTCTACTTTTACTTGTTAACATACCAAATATCTAATTACAAAATCTGTTATGTCTATTTTCATTTATTCCCACCAGTATAATTGTTTCAAGTCTTGATACATCTCAGTGGTACTTGGGTGAATAGTATACTTGGAGTTGTGAGTTTCTTCCAAAATAATCCTCCTCAAATTTCCAAAATTTGGTATGCATAAGTGACCACTACATCGTAATACTCCTTTAGTATCCAACTCGAACTCTGACCACTTTTTTGTCTGCACCTCTCCACTGAGTTTACGCATCTTGGAATATTTACTTTTATTCTCTTTAATGAGATTCATCAATGACGATTAAGCCTGCATGTGAGCTAGAAATATTCTAGTCGCTCCAAACTTGAACTGTAAACTCTCGCTCTCTAGCTTATGTATTTCTACCACTAATGGTCGTCTCACAAGAGGTATATAAGTCAAATTGCCCATTGATTTTCTACTTAAGGCATCCGCCACCGTATGAGCCTTGCTTGGGTGGTATAACATGATGCAGTCGTAATCTTTTACCTAAGATTGAGATCTTTTTGTTGAAATATGTACTTCAAGTTCTTATGATCAGTATAAATCTCACAGGGTTATCCTTATAAATAATGCATCCAAATTTTTAAAGCAAAGATTACCGCTAACATTTCTAAATCATGAGTAGGGTAATTATACTCATGCTTATTTAACTGCTTGGATGCATAAGTAATAACTCAACCATGTTGTATCAGTATACATCCTAACCCTACTCTGATCACGGCATTGCAATTTGGTCGTGACAATTTGATGTTTAAATTTTAATATACTTGCTAACTTTAAAGTTAACTTGGTACATCACTTATATATAATTTTACTCGATCTTTTTTAGTTATTAATGATTTATATCATGTAACAATACAAAAATATATTAATGTATTTTATTTATAGATTATTATATGTTTTGAATAAAAATGTGATTAATATGTGAAAATTTTATTTATGCAAGACTAAATAAATAAACGAAATAACATATTTTTTAAATAATTTGTAATATAATTGCATTTTTATATAATGTAATTTTAATAGATTCATAATTTTTATTGAATAATTAAACATAAAATATATTATATTCGTACGTAATAAATATTATAAATTTTTTTGTCCTGTATTTTACTAACTATGATTGAGACATACTGTAATTGAGTTTTTTAATAAATTCAGTGTCTAATTTTTAGATATAGAAACTGATTAATATATATAAGGCCGAATTTTGATTTTTCTTGAATGAGCACTGATAGTTTTATGGCACCAAATTTGAGGGAAAAAAACTCAATATACAACAATAATAAGAGAAAATAAATATATAACATGTATGTAGTTAGCTAAATATAATTATAATTATGGTTAACTAAATGTAATTATATTCTTATAGTTGAAACTTGAATATCAAACATGGACACTAATAATCAAACAATCGAACACCCTGTTCCAATGATTTTTGCATAAATATTTTGCAATAAACAGTATTTCAAACCAAACTAATTTACATATATATGTGAAAAGAATATATTAAAATTAATTTTTAGAAAGAAATTGATTCCAATGAATTGCTCTCTCTCTCTCTCTTTCTATATATATATATATATATATATATAAAAGCAATTCATGTAAGTTAATTTTTTTATAATTATATTTATATATATAATATGAAATAAATTATTGGAAAGGATTTGATTGATTTGAATTATTTTCTTTTTTCACACACTCGAATATAGAAAAATATATAATGAAAAGGAAATATATAGCAATTAATTATTAAGAAACACAATTCATGTGAGTAAATTCTTTTCTAATTTGC